CAAAAAATTACCTCTCTAAAGTACCTCCTTACACCGATTTCCTTTCAGAAAAGATTTCTGGTAGAAAAGTTGCGGTGAAAAAAAATAAACATCTTTGTATAACCATAGGCTTCTTCGCTCCACTCAGAATCTAAAACTCGCATAATTAAAATGTCTATAAATAGCTCAAAAATGGTTTAAATGTTTAAAAAATAACCACGTCTAGAAAGGGCAAGTGTAAATTTTATTTCCAAATGTCATGTCCTTACAAATATACTTAACTGAATTACAACGAAAAAAACAAAATTGAAAATAATAAAAATATTATTTTCATAAATTTGTCAGTTATTTCGATTTTTTTTTTGTTTTGCGCAATTATTGAAAAAACTACCCGGAAAATCAAAAAACGACTTTCTTATTCAGTAACTAGATTAAATATAAGAAAAAAAAGGATCCCTCATCGTTTTACTAGCGGAGCAATATAATTACTGGTAAAAAACATAGTTCGCAAAAATTAAAAACGATGAAATCGGTAACGCTGTGGCCACGGCGCCCTGAAATATTTGCCATATTACCTATAATTTTCTTTCTGATTTTTCAAAATTATTTTGAAAACCCCATGGAAAATTGTAAGATGACATTCTGAATGCCAACTAGGTAAAACTTTCTTTCAGAAAAGACACTACATTTGATACATCGGAGTAAAGTTTTTTTCGAAAAGTTTTTTACGGACAGAATAATAAAAAAAAAAAAAAATAAACACAAAAACACAAATCATAGTAAATTACCAATAATTTATCCCTTGCTACGCTCCGAATCTAAAACATATTTGTAAAACATATCTGCATTCATATAAGTTTTGACAGTAAGTTATTGCGGCAATTCGGTCAAATGAAATGGCAACTGCAGACAAGTGTAGGATATTAACGCAGTTCATCGACCATAGTCGCTACCACTTTATCAATGGCTATTATAACAATATTATACAGGTAAGCCCCGTTAATAATGATACTGCGGTAAAAACTTCATAAATAATGTTATTACATATCATACGATGTCGAACTCGAGTTTTGAATTCGACTACGTCTAAAAAGTACTTAAAAAAAATCGAAATTGATGTAACCATTAATACCATAAACTTTTCAGTTTTTCGGCCTGGACTGAAATGCCGTATAATATTTCGATAAACGAGTACATTAAAAGACATTAGACGTGCCTACCTGTATTATTTATTATGTTTTCGGTTTACAGGAAATGTACAGGTCAGACGACGTTTCCGGATGTCACTACAGTGCCGCAGGAAGGCCGTTAAAATATTCTTAACGAACCGTCGAAACCGTCAGACGTACAATAATAATAGACGACTGTGAATTATTCGTCTATGAACGCACATCCACCTATAATACGAAGGTATAGTCTATAAGTATAAAATATACTTTGGTCTAAACTTGTCGTATTAATAATCACTTATTCGAGAGGCCTTCGACAAATGCACATAAAAAAAAAAAATACATATATTTTTTAAAGCTATTATATACAATATAAACGATTTAATATTTTTTAATATCGTTATTGAAATTAAAAAAAATAAATATTTGGCTCATGGTGCGCCGCGGTCGTTATCCATCGTCTTGTTAACGATAATAAATTATAAATAAACAATGACGTAACTATAATTTTATACGAGGGATTATGGGGTCACGGTCCTCGCCTGAATTATGGTTTTGACCCCTCTAGATTTTTTATAATTAGACATAATAATTCGTAATTATTACTCATACACGTTTTTCGTTTACGTGGTTGTTTTTTCTTCGACGCGTTAATCATCGCATTATCCGAAGTATTTACATGTATAATATACCTATAATATGAATTATAGGTAATAACTTAATTGCATGATTATAATATTATTTGTAAATCTCCTTCCGAGTTAACGCATTTGCCTGGTCGGTACTCGGAATGCTTTGTATAATCGAAATTTGCGATAAATTTGAAAAATAAGAAGCCGGTCGTATACTTAGTTGGTAGGGCCGTCTTTAGGGTAAGTTGCAGGCAGGACCCAGACCCTATATATCGAGCTTTTTACTTGAATTTGGGGCCTCATATTAGAAAAAAAAATACAAATTATAGTAATATGATAAAATGTGCAAATATTTTTGAATTTCGGCCCGAGCCTCGCAAATTCTAAGGACGGGTCTACTGGTATGTCACTGTTACAAGTGAAAAGCAAGAAAATTCATATAGGGTGTCTGAGTGGTGTAGCATATTGGGGTAATTTAGTTTAACTTTAAATCCGGAATGCTACGGTAATGTTAAACGCAAACGTTTATATAGATAATTTATATAAGATAAAATGTTGTAACATGATGTTTTACTACAAACAGAGAGAAAAAAAAAACACATTAACCAAACCTAACCTAACCCTAACTTTATATTATTACTCTCACTAATAAGTAAATAAATGCGTACCAACTACCAACAATAACTATCATACAGCATAGATCAGCGTTTTAAAAACTTTTTTTATTCACGTACCCTTCGACCTATCACCATTGCTTTATAGACCCCCAAATGTCAACTTGTCATATATTTTCACATAACATAGATAAATAAAATATATAAGACAAATTTCGTTTTTTCCACCATTATGCTTTTTACCGCTAACCCTCTACTGCCTTCTCACAGAACCCTAGATACTCCCGGTTGAGAAACACTGGTTTAGATTATACTAGGGATTTTTACTTTTAAAATAACGGGACATTTTAAATCATACCTATACTCGTAATTTACATAGATGTTAACTAGGGGAAGAAGGGTGAGGGTGTAATCCTTCAAAAATCAAAACTTATCTAAAAATTAAAAAGTTAAGATTTAACCATGTAAAAGTTTATTTTACTTTTTAAATAGGTACCAGGTTTTTTTATACCTGAAAAAATATTTAAACTACAGTTACTAGTCAGATATTAGTACCTATGTTAACAATTAACACATATAAAATTAAATATGCGACTGTGACATGCCTAGTAAATATTCAGTGACAAAATTTGCATTTAGCCTTGATGTAACATTCGTTTTTCCTCATACTTAACAAATAAAATAAAATAAACACTACATTTAATATTAAAAACAAATAATATATTTTACAGATTTTTATTATTATAATCAAATAGTTAATATTTGATTTAGATATTATCAATTATCAATCATTATTTAAATTTTAAAATGCTAAATGGTAAGAAAAAATTAAATTTTTGAAAATTTAAAATTTAAAAATGAAACACAAAAAGATATATTAACCAAAATACGAGATAATCCCGTAAAACACCGAACGAATGGGATCCCTAGATTATACTGGTTGACCTGTACGAAAAATTGGCACACAAAAATCGATTTTCGACTTTGATTTTTAATCATATATTAGGTTTTGTACCCTGTACAGTACTCAATCAACAGTCCGTTAGAAGTGCTTAAGTTAGGGTAGGTATACTCAATATTTAAAATGGCACCCACCTCATATTTTATTGATTTTGGTTCAGTACAAAAAGATAAAGAGGCTTCGACTCAAAAAATTATATTTTAAAAATATTATAAGATTATACTACTATGACAAAACGTCTACTTTAATATATATATATATATATATATATATACGTAATACGCCCACCGGGAATTTTCCCGTTATCCCGTCGGCTCATCAATCCGTCCCCGAAAACATATTATTACCTACTATAACGGGCATTTTTTTTTTTTTTCTAAACTGCTTTAAATTGCCATATTATTAAATCATTCAACTACCGGACTATCTGTGTGTAACTACATGTTATAATATATACGCAGAGGTCAATCGGTTCGGTAAGGTCGGCGCGTTGTCGTCCGTCGTTATTCGTTATAATATAGGGTCAAAAAGCGCACCGTATTTAAATATTATCGACTTCTCGTTCATGTTATTATTGTTGCAGTTTATCGGCGACTGCAGTAGCGCGTGTTATGTATCCAAAGACTATTATGTTGAAAATGCGTCGCAACTAACGAAATTATCGTAAACACCGATGATTAGTAAAATAATAATAATAATTTCGTGTCACGAACCGCCGAAAATTTAAAGTGAGGGGAAAATAAACAATAATAATATTATATTAATGTACCCAAGTTAAGTGCATTGCGGCACAATGCATCGCGGGAATCACAAACGGACCACCTATCTATCTATCTATATCTAAATCCAAGGGCGCCATTATTTTCGGGAAGGTCGGACGATGGTATGAGGGGGAGGGGGGGCAAGGCGACCTTTTCAGCAATACGGTTCGTGTTCGGGAAAAATAAATTTCCAAGGCCGTCTCGATGGTGTTACGTACGTACATAATAATAATAATAATAATATAATGACGATACCGTGACAAAGGGGATACGCGCGAACGGTAAGTACACGCGCGCATCACAAACGTTCTCACGTGAGCTCATCATCGCAACGCGTCATGACGATTGTCTGTACCCGGCCCGTACGTCTTACGAATATACAGATACGGCGGGCACGGAAAGAGCGAGGGAGACGAGACCTTGTTACCAAGATCAAGGTTCCTTCGGGCCTCGTTCGTACTAAACGCGTCTGCGCGATGTACAATGAAAACTATACAAAGTGATAAACAAGTAGAACGGAGACGACGGAAACACAGGGCGTGAAAATCAACGGCGGCGGTAACGATAACTGGCCTCGGTGAAGTATCCACGGGTGAGGCGGAGAAATTGACGAGTGCAGCCACGAAGTTTACTCTGGGATGGGGCGAAAGTATCGTTTCGCGTCCGCGGCATTTTCCAGACAACGGACAAAAATATTAAAATGGACAAAACTAACACAGTATTATTGTAATTTATATGAATACGACTGTGTTATCGTGTTTACAACCGACGTTATTATGAAATTTTTAATTCGATAAAACACTAGTGTTATACCGTACCGTTTATTGTGTGGAATATCGGTGATAAAATGTCAAGTAATTCGGAATTTTAAAGGATTGTGAGGAAAAGACGAAAACCTCCCCCCCGGTTTGAGAATCGTGGTTATTTTTACACCCTGATCAGTTGTTTCTACGGCACATTAGTCACGCGGCTTCCTCGGAGCGTAATCGAAATCGAACCAACAGCAACGTTGAGTTTTATAAAACTCCTGAAACTCTCGAAACCGACCCGGTTGAGTTTCCACTCGGGTCGAACTCGGTTGGATTAGGTGAACACGCGTATACCGGAACACTGTATACGGGAAAATACCGCGGACATCTCGTCTTTTGCGCGCGTCATTATGTTGCATCACCGCGGAGTGTAAACACGACGGACAGACGCGGTATTTATATTTATTTTACCGGTTTTTTTTTTTATTATTATTATTATCATTTATTTACCATTATATTTTTTAAAAAAAAAATCTTTCTCGCGCCGCCGTGTCCTTGTATAGGACGCTGCGGAAAATCGAAGAAAAAAATATATTTTATTCTGTGCGGCGATCGCATTGTGCGCTGCCCCCACTGAGCGACGTGGTCGCGGCCGGGGAAAAACGGATTACGATACTATACGGTGTACACGCGCTCTCGAGTGGCGATGCGCCGGATGATCCGAGTTAGGTAAAAGCCGGTCGTAGATTATTATTATGGCTGTGTAACATAATGCAATATACATTGTGCTTTTGAAAAAGTTTATTGTTTCAGTTGTTTTTTTTTTTTTCCTCATTGTTATTATTACCCGTTGTCGCATGTGCGGTTTGGTTTTTATTACGGGCATGCGAACGCCCGCGAACTCGACGGGAATGTGTATACGCGTATAATGTATACCTATCGATCGACTGTTTACTTGAAAAAGAAAGAAAAAAAAAAAAAAACATTCCTCGCCGCGCACAGAGTCTAAAAACCATTTAGTAATAAAAAATATTATTCCCTTTGAACGCCGGAGAAAATATAAACGGGGCGGCGGTTACCGGGGCATAAAATGCAAAGTAACAGACGAACGTTTCGGGTGTCCGTATATTCCATTGTGCGATCGCCCGAATTTTGTCTATCGCTGGATTACATTTAAACGAAACAAAACAAAACAAACATGCAAATAAACACGCGAAATTGGAAATCGAAAAATTTCCTACCGACGCGTCGGCTGTACAAAACGAAATCAGCTGCCAGAAACCGTCCCCGCGGTCGACGATCGGACTACGATTACCGGTGGCAAACTAAGAAAAGCGGTTTACCGCCGGGAAAACAAAACAAATTAAAAAAAAAAAAAACACGCATAGTATAAAATTAAACCTAACCTGTACGTATTTCTCGCTATACGCTCCGATCCGAATTTTAAAAAAAAAAAAAAAAAAACGAAAACGAGTCGCTCTACGTATCACAATCCCGTGACGGTTTATCCGAAAGCCATTATCGATTTATTACCGCTACAACTGTCAGTAAAACGGTCCGAGTCCCGAAATCGGGTAATTACTCCGCGATAAATATTTGTTGAAAATATGTACGGCGCAGGCAAGACGAATTTTAAACCATTTAAACCACTTCGCTACCTACCGCGGATGTTAAAGCGCGGTGTTGTTGTTGTTGTTTTTTTTTTTTATTCATAAATTACTTCATTAAAATTCAGATTTTTCTCGAGTAATTTATTCCGAGTACGCGCGTAGAGTGTACAATAACAAAAATAGAAATAAACATCTGACAAAGTAATTAACTCGATATAATCCACAACTATAGCGGCTTGCAGCCGTTTTAGAAATACTCGCGGGTTATAATTGATTGGAATTTAAATTGCTACAGAATCTAACGGAAATATTATAAATCCGTGCGCACAACGTCGGCGTATAACAAGTGCCTATTGTTTTCGTTTTTATTTATATTTATACACTTGTGTATTATGCGCGTGTACGTATTTTTATACCTAGGTGGATTCGACACCATGTTTTTTATTTTACAGAAAAAAAAAAAAAACAGAAATTTTCAATAATTATTTTGCCTTACGTTTTTATGAGTTTTTATCATAGACTCACCGGCAGTCGCCCAATGGTAATCAACGGTTATGCGTGTCGGGTATAAAATATTGGAAATATAAAAACTCCAGTAATGAATTCAACATCGTGTTTTTTATGTGGTAGCCGGCTCACATAGGCGTCATCTAGGAGGGGGGGGGGATAAGAGAGGAAAATTACCCGCTCCGGATATTGGACTGACGTGGAAATCGCCCTTGCCGGGGAGAGGGCGAACTAGCTGGGGGTCCGTGATTATGTAGTTACAATGACATTTGTTTTAACAAAAAAAAAAAAAAAAACAACCATACGTTGTTAAATAATATTATTTTTTTCATACATGATAACGATAAATAATCATATTAATAGTGTTATCGTGTACAGTTAATCTAAAGATCGCGATTTAAGATATCTTATTTCGTGGCTGTGCATTTAAACGATGATTACGAGCGCAATATTTTTCTTATTACCGTGTAGAACGCTGCCTGCGACCACGGTATTAATGATGTTTGTTATTGGCTTTAATCAAATAGGTTGAATTTCAATAATAGCATAGATCATCATTTGTTTTGTTGTTTAATATAATTTCCATTTTGTTATCGAATTATACCAAATTTTTTTAATTTTACAATAAATTGTTAGTCAATATTAATTTTTCATTTATAATTTATATACGTTTTTATTTCGTAAATACATATACCTATACGTTTTTACTATTTGTATTTTTACACTTTTTGTTTTAAAATCGGTACACAATTAGGATATAATTAATATTATTTTATTATCTAGGTCAAGTGAGGTAAGTGAATAAATGGGGTTGGAGTAAACTTAATGCGAATTTCAATGCTCTAAAACAAAAAAGGAAAATACCTTATAAAAATACAATTTAATAAACTTTAAAAAGATTAAAAAATATCGTAAAAGTTATTTTAAACGTTGAAAAAAAAACTTTTTTTTATTAGGTATATGAATTTACTAAACACAATAGTGCAAATAGTTCGATACGACTACATTACGACTTCGTTAATAGCCTAATGTTTTCTTTTACCATCGTATTTATCCGGTACAATCAGTAAATCCATAATACATTTTAAAAATAGAAATAAAATATTTTTTTTAGGAAAAAATCAAAATAAATTTTATCACATTTGCTGATAACGTCATGCAGTTTAAGAAGAAACAATTCCTAAAAAACCTAAAATGCACTTAAAATGTCAAAAAATGTTCTAAAAATAAAAATAAAAAAAATCTAAAACTGCAAAATAAGTTTTATATTTGAATGCTTTGATATATGAAACGAATTTTATGCTATTTCGAAAGCATTGCTTTGAGATATTCAGAAAAAAATAAAATTTGCATTGGAATCCGCACCCTAATAACTATTACTGATATATGACATTTGATTGTTGGATAAGCTTGTGAATTGTAATCGCCCTTCAAGTTGAACTCTTATAAAACAAATTCGGCAAAATTAGCACAATGTATTTGTTGTTATCCGTTGTACGAGTATTGCTGTAATCTGAAACATGAAATATAACAAATGATCGTTTAATTTAAATGATAATTCGTCTATATTTTTTTTTTTAAATTATATACCTATACTTTAAAATATCGCTTATTTTTTTCCCCGTTTGCTTTTATTTGTTACGGTTTTTTATTCGTTTGCATTTTTATTTGCTTTTTTTTCTCTGAAAATTCTGTATGAACGAATCGCTGCGAAACATATAAAAGTACAGTGTATGGACACCCGATAGAGTCTCCGCCGCGTCCTCGCCGAGAATGTGACTCACCCCGGCGCACCACTACGAACAGAATGCCGGCAGTGCGTCCGCTGTGAAAAGTCACGGTAAAGCCGACATCTCGTCGGAAAATGGAGCGCTAATTTTGAAAACTGTACCGTTTGCCAGCGCTAAATGTCGGTACTACAAAAATGGTGATCGGCGCTTGTACTGCGTCCGCTACGCGAAGTCAGCGGACGGAAGATAGGCGCCCGCGTATCACTTTTTTTCCCGGACAGAGCGCTGATTTTGAAAACCGCGCCGTTCGCCGGCACTCATTCGACAGTGAATATCGGCACCAGAAAGGAAATTGAGCGTTCGACGTCCGTCTCGACCACCCACCCCCCCCCCCCCCCCCCCGCCGCCGCCCGCTCCAACTTCGCGGACGCTGTCGGAAACGAGAAGCGCCAGCCGAAGAGCGCGTACGCGAACGGGAACCGCGGGACCGGGGACAGGCTGCGGACGCCGCGCCGTTTTTGCCGGAGCGTCGCCGGCGGTACCGGCGAGAGGCGAGAGAACCGGACCGTTTCGGGAAAGCGACCGGCACGGGCGGCGATCCGATTCGAACCGCCGACGTCCGCGCGTAGAAGCGGACGCGCGAGAACCGCACGCGGGCCTGACCTCCTGCGCCGCGCGGCGACAATATTGTCCGGGCGTTCGGCGCACGGCGGCCGCGGACCGGTGCGGTCTCCGCGGGTTTTCGCCGCGTCCATTGTGCGCGCCGCCGCCGTCCGCGGCCGCGCTACGCGCGCGCTCGTAATATAACGTAATACACTCCTGTGTACTTGGCCGCGCCATTATATTGCGCACACACATTATACGAGTGTAGGGCGCGCGCGGTCTGAAATTCAATTACGGCTCGAACAATACAAATAACAGCGCATGCGTACACGCGTGACGCGAGCGTGTGCGTGCGCAACGTACAAACATAATGGCGCAACGTCGCGCCGAGACCGCGGCAAACGTTCGTATGTAACAATAATAATAGTAATAATAACAATAATGTGTAACACACGAGGAAGTAAATAGCAATAATAATAATAATACTATTATTGTGATAACGTCTCGTTGTCGTCCCGCCGAACAGTAAAAATATTGTGACCGGTACGACTACATACTACTACTACGGGGAGAAAACAAAAAAAAAACAATAACGTTAATTGCGTATCGACCGTATTAAAACGTCCAAGTTGTTATATTAAATTACAATCGTTAATATGTACGAAAAATAACGTCCGTGCGACGCGCAACGATGCGTCCAGAGTTTAACGTTTCCCGATAACGTCTGGTTTCCGAGAGATTAAGTCGATTCGCGGGATCTTAAGAGTACAAGCTATTTGAGAAAGAAAAAAAAAAGACGCAGACGTCTAACGAATCGAATGGCAACTGAGAACTATTGAAGCCGTCATTGCGCACAGTAATGCGCGGTGGTTAAAAGACTAGAAACGAGGGGACAGTATGCGCACCGGGTGTGGCGTCGTGTTTGAGATTTCTGTCCCCGTTGAATTATCATTCCGAGTCTCTCGCGAAACCGCTAAACCAATCCGACATCGATCGCGTGGTTTTCAGACACGAAATCGCA